CTGCTTCATGATGTCATGGGTGGCTAACCTTATATTGCGATGTTTCAAAATCGTTACAAACACAATGGTTTGACTGCAATGAATGAACGAATTACCGATCTGGCAACACCATATTCCTCCTGTGTTTATCTACCACATTAGGCAGCGAGGAATTTCAGACGTAAACAGTCTGCATAGTGACATGTCCCATACGATAAATAAGCTTCAACAAGAGATAGGCATTGTATGTGACGGTATGTGAGGCCGCCACAAGGACTTACACTGCTAAAACGCACGGTGCAGAAAATGTATTACACTGCAAGAACACAAGGCGCAGAAAATGTATGAATTTTGGGATTTTTTTTTTTTGAATGAGTGTAACATTTTTTTACAGATATTAAAATCTGTAAATTAGAATATCTGATTCTATATTCTTTCTACATTAAAGGAGCGTTCATTTCGTTCGTTTATCATAAAAAATGTAGAAATCACACCATTTTTAGAAACATGCTTACAATTTCATTGCTCTAGAAGGGCGGGCATTTAAATAAACTCCATCCAGCTGCCCCTACCGGAAATTAAATGGCCCGTCCGATAAAGGTTAAATTCATGGGTGGGAAGAGATGTCCGGAGTTCTTTTTATTTTGCAGACATTTACATTTCAGTGCAGGCTGTTCAGAAACCTTTAATACTATCTACTGTAAGAATGATAAACTTGCAAAATAAATGCAACTTTATGCAAACAAAACACAGATTGTGCAGTGTCTTTTTAGAAAATGCCATTATCTTGATTGCACAAATAAATAAATACTAAAATCCAGAAGCTTTTAAATTTTGAGTTTGCTTCAGTTTTGCATAGCGAGATTGTGCATGCATCAGTTCTACAGTGTATCTCTGTGATAATCCAAGAAACAGTTTTTGTGCACACATTAACCCACCTCACATTTCTGACACATTAAACTGACATCTCATGTTACTTCACGAGCTGAAAGTATCATCACGTGTTGGAGTGAGTGTGGATGGGGTTTGGATTGGTGACTGGATTTACTGACCACTTACAGATTGTAACTATAGCACTGTTGCTAATTTACACACTTTGCAAATCACTAGAGCACAAGCTAGTCTTCTCAGTCTGTTTTTCACTAGCCGTGTCCTGGTAATGGACCCATACAATGTCCTCTGCTTATATCGTAATTCACATAGTGGGGGGTGGAGTCCAGTTGGGTCCACTTGGCACGGCGGCCACTGATTGGCCTATTGTACCTGCCCTGGGTGATTATGATGGAGAATTTGGTGGAATGAAGATTGGCAGGGGAAACCAAAGTACTCGGAGAAAACCTACCCCAGCGCCACTTTGTCCACCACAAATCCCACTTGACCAGACCCAGGTTTGAACCCGGGCTGCCACGGTGGGAAGCCAGCGACTAATCGCTTGAGCTATGGCAAGGCCTTTCACTTATATCGTAACTGGCTGCAAAATTTCTCACAACTGACTCCCAATCTGGGTGCCATCTCACACTAACCTCATACTCTTCTGATTGACTGAACTCAACTAACTGCAGCTCCCAGCTTGTCCTGCTTATAACATCTGGACACGGGCTCCACAGAATACACCTTTCCTCATTGTTGTAGTTAACTGTTGCCATGGGAACATGTTTGTTTGTGAAGCGGTTATATTTGCTAAGCTTGCAGTCATTGCCCAGTAACAGGTCTACATGCTACAGTATGCAGCACTGTAGTTGACTAAATGTTTGTTGCTGCTAGAGTCCCGTCTACTGAAGGTACTGACATTTGCTGGCCTACCTAATGTTATCTGTACATGTGGCTGTGTTCCAGCATGTGCCAGTGTATTTATTCCTCACTAGGGAAATTTGAAATTCTCTGTGTTACTGCAGCATGTGTAGCTATGATTTGTGCCTTATGCTCTATGTTCTTCTCCAAGTATACTTTCATGTCGCATGTGTAGCCAGTGGAGTCACATGATTGACATAACTTGTATGCCAAAACATTTGTGCTCTTTTTGAAATGTACTGTTTGAAAACTGCTCTTTTCTTGAGGAGAATAACTTGATCTAATGCCAGATGTTTGGAAGAGCCATACAATTTGGAAAGTGCCTTATTCAGAATTTCAGATGATGTTTTAAGAGAACCAAACAAATGGAAGTCACTTGGAGCAAGGTCGGGGCTATATGGAGGATGCTCGAGGACTTCCTACTTGAAATTTCGCAGTGTCTCATTTGTCTTGTTGGCAGCATCGGGACGCACGCTGTCATGCAAGAGCAACATGTCTTTGGTGAGGAGTCCTGGTTGCTTCCATTGAATGGCCTTACGTAGTTTCCTGAGGATGTTACAGTAGGAGTCAGCATTTACAGTTTGTCCTTGAGGCTGGAATGTGGTGAACAGTATGCCTTTGTGATCCCAGAAGACTGCGAGCATCACTTTCCTGGAGGATGGTGTCATCTTAAAGCTTTATTTGACAGGCGACGCAGGATGTTTCAACTGCACTGACACATGCTTTGTCTTGGGCTGGTAATGATGAACCCAAAACTCATCACCTGTGACAATTCAGGCTAGCATATCGTGTCCTTCATCGTGGTAGCAACTGAGATGTTGTAATGCGAGACCCATTCTTTGCATTTTATGTTGTGAGGTCAGCATGCGTGGCACCCATCATGCCACGCATGCTCACTTTATGAAAACCTAACTTGTCATGCTTTTTAAGGTAGGCCATACCATGTGAACAACCAATAGAAGTGGCTATAGTGTCTATAGTTACCCTTCTGTCTGCTCGGATTAAGTCTTCAACCCTTTGCACATTCTCCTCTGTGGCAATCTCCGTTGGCCGGCCGACACAGTGTTCATCTTCGATATGTGTCCGCCCTTCAGAGAACTTCTGCACCCAATTGTAAACAGCTTGACGTGACAGGCACTTCTCACCAGTGATGGGAAGCATTTCTTTATGAATATGCTTTGATTCCATACCTTTTGCCCACAAAAATTGCACAATGGAGTGCTGCTCGAGGGTTGTACACTCACTCAGAGGCACCGCCATCTTGCAACTGCTGTTTTGCTTTTGTGAACATCAACTGTCTTGTGTCAAATGTCATCAGTTGCCACCGGACTAATGCTGCCATCTAATGGCGATAACCTCAAGTGCCTCATTCAAACATGTAGTACCCCACATCAATTTGTAACATACTTATTGACTCACCTACGTACATTAACACATTAAGGACCGGCGATTTAAATATTTAAATCACCCTGTGGCCTGCCATTATTAAACCTACTATCCTAACTTCACACTGTTCACTTAAAAATTAATACAAAATATCCTAATCAAGTTCATGAACTAAAATTTTTGGAGAACACTTACCAATGCTCCTAGAAGTGCTTGAGGGTGTGATATTTCTGGAAACATCCCCCTTTGTGAAGTGGCATTACACAGAACTTGCAAATGTAGACATACTCCTTTTTTTGTGAACTGTGCAAACACAGCATTGCCTAGGATTCTTCCCCTTGGAATGTTCACTCTTCACAATTTTCACGAGGGTATTTTTCCGCATATCACCTGAGAGTCACCCTGGGGGGTCCACATGAGGCCTGCGTGGGGTGGGAGTTGATGGGCCCGGTCGCACTACGTCTGTGTCTGACCCTCGTTCTGCCTCCACCATCTGGTCTGTAGCCCAGGCCTTTGCCACATTCATCAGAAATGCTTTGTATTTCAATTTCGAATCAGGGTTTAGATTTTCTTTTAGATTTTTTGCTGTCCACGCAATGTTATTATCCACATTATTGTCTGAGCTACTGTCACTTTTACTGTCTGTGACCACCATTCTTTGTTGTCCTCTGTCACAGACGCTGTCTGAATCACAATTACTCCATTGCTATGCTTCTCACAAGGCAGGTCAGCTAGCTCATCGGAGGAGAATTTGTCCTTGATCCATTCTCCCCACTAACTACTGGCTGATACACACAGCTTGAAGAAGGAAAAGCAGTTTCCTCTATAGTTGGTTAAGAAAACAGCGAGGTCAAGTTACTGACTGCTAAGTAAATATTCCAGAGTCTTATCACGCATCTGCAGGCAGCTGCGTGCAACGTACATGGCGCCAGAGCAAGGTATAGTGTGTTACTACCTAATGTGTCCTAAAATCATGATATCATGTGACCAGTCCGCCACATTTAAAAGCCAAAAGCATGATATCATGTGACCAGTCCTCAAAGTGTTAAGATTGCAGAGGGCCAGTCAGAACAGTTCCACTTCACAGTTCAGCCGTATCCAGACTGTGTTCAAATTTTAAAGGTTTTATGCCAATTTCTATGAGACATATGACAGAAATCATTGCTTCCGAATCAGAGCGACATTAATTCAGCAAAGAAAATATATATAGTAAGGCTCTTACAATTCTTCCTTGAATGCAGAATTGAAGATTTTTCTTGCTGCTAGTGTGTAATAAGTTTCTGTATGTGGTGTAATAATTTACCATCCTTTGGCTGCTGGACAAAAATTTAGCCTCCAGGGTGATTGTTAAAAACAGCAAAGGTTGTGTATTTGTCTTTTTATTCATTATTTCACTGTAGCTGCTGGTATCTCATTAGTTGCCAGTAGTGCTGCTAGTGTTGCTTCTGCAAGTTTGTCTATAAGATATATGCAGAGTTTGTGTACTGTTTTTCAGTTGTTATGAAACCAGTACAAGCAATAGAACTAGTGTGAATTTCCCAGTTCTTTTATGAATATTCTAATATAATTTACGCAGTAGTTTCATTATTAACAGGCTGTGCCTTTATGAGATAAATTCTTCAAACTGCTTAGGATATAATATTTTAAGTAACTTAAAGATTAAGTTAAAGAACATGATAGAAATGAGTGAAGTTAGAATTTTCAATGAGACAAGGAGGCAGCAAGTTGGCTGGATATGAACAGGAGGGAAGACGCTTGAGGCTGTGCAGTAGAGACTGAGAAAACACTGCATTCATTGCCTTGCATTTCAAATGCTACATGAAAACCAGACATTAACTGTTAGGTTTCCACACAACTACTTGCATCTTCACAACTTACAGAATTGCTGTTAGGATCTCAGATAGCTCAGTCCGTATGATAAACAGAGTTTGATTCCTGGAAAGGGCAGGACTTTTCTCTGCCACTTTGTCTGGACGGGAACCCAGCCAGCCTCCTGTCCCTTGGGTACTGGGGCCTTCTCCCTGTGAGGTAAAGTGGTTGGGTCAAGAAGCTGACTACCCACCTCCATTCCATTTCGTTTCCAAGTGCAGAATGTTTGCAACTGTNCAAACCCCCCCCCCCCATATATCTCCACAGTGTTGCGGTTAGTTAAGCAGTGTAATATGTCCATATGGTACAGTGCTTAATAAAGCATGGGGATTGCCTCACTTCCTACAAAATTGTCATCAGGAATGGGGATGCAGTGAGTTCATTGCATGGGTCATTGCCTGTCTGAACTCTTCTTATAACATGACAAATGACATGGAAAGTGTGACTATGTATTCACATCTCAAACTATTCAGTACTCATGTATTCAGGGAGTTTTTTTTTTTTTTTTTTTTTTTTNTTTTTTTTTGTTATCTGTAGAAGTTTGACTGTGTTTGAGAGAGAAAGAGAGAGACACCTGCTGGGGAAATCTGCAATTCTGTGCTTATGTACAAGAATATGTCTATCAGTAGTGAGAAGTAGATGTGTTAAGTTTGAAAGATTAATGCAATGTGTGGAGCTCATTCCAAGTGTGTGGTGTATGTTTATAGCAGGGGTCAGGGACCTTTTTTACTTATTACCCCAAAATATATTTATTTATGCCGTTACCCCCTTGATTTGAAAGAGAGAAAATCATAGATTATTCAAATTCAAAAGGTTTATTGAATCTATTTATATGGACAATACAATTATAAATNCCTCATGTGCAATTCTGAAAGCATTTGCAGCTCTTGACATCCAAAAATATGACAGATCTGCTTTGTTTTCAAATTAAATACGTGCTTCATTATTGGATCAAAGTTCAAAAAGTGCCTCTGCCAAACCTTGAGGCTCTTCTGGTACATCAGCAATTTCAGATTTAAAGGGATCTACAACCCAACTGACATTATGTGAATCAAGATCTGGAAAGTAATCATCGAACCGCTTTTTGAGTTTGGTAAGATGCCTTATAACTGTGTCCTTGATGTCGTCAAAAGTAATATTTTCACAGTCTTCCAAAAACAAAGCCAACCTTGAAAAGGCAGCAATCTTGTTTTGTTCTCAAAGTTAATAGAAAGTCCGTCGAGTGTAACAATTTGTAGGTCACTTCTTTATCACTTCTGCCTTACATGTTTCGGTTTGACACAACCATCATCAGAGGCACTTAATACAATTATGAAACCACTGTCACTGTTTATGATGTTCACAGTTATGCTTGTTGTGTGGACGCTGCTACAATATGTTGACGTGTAAAAGCACAACACTCGTTAGGATAGCTGAGCACACTATCAATTCTCACCTTCCATCCGAAACCGTTTATAAGTTAAAACGCTAATATCAAAATATTTAAAATATTTTGATATTAGCTATCAATTCTCACCTTCCATCCGAAACCGTTTATAAGTTAAAACGCTAATATCAAAATATTTAAAATATTTTGATATTAGCTATCAATTCTCACCTTCCATCCGAAACCGTTTATAAGTTAAAACGCTAATATCAAAATATTTAAAATATTTTGATATTAGCTATCAATTCTCACCTTCCATCCGAAACCGTTTATAAGTTAAAACGCTAATATCAAAATATTTTGATATTTGAGAATTGATAGTGTTCATATTCATATTCTCTGTTCATATTCCCTGGATGCAGTTCGATCTCAATGGCTTCCCTAATGATGCGATCCATATAGCGCGTCTTGGTGGCGAGGATGGAGGTATTCTGAAGCTGAATGCGGTGTCCCAGTTCGATGCTGTGTTCAGCTACGGCCGACTTGTCCGGATGTTCGAGACGGATGTGCCGCTGATGCTCCTTCAACCTCGTGTCCACGGAGCGGCCTGTCTGCCCAA